ATGACATATTTACTGCAATGAAGCAGAGGGCCTCAAACCAAGAATACTTTATCCGGCAAGATTATGATTTAAATCTGAAGGAGACATTAAACAATTTCCAGACAAACAAAAGCTGACAGAATTTACCTTCCACAAACCATCTCTACAATGTATTTTGGAGGGACTGCTATAAATGGAAGTGTTACTAAGGTTTAATAGCTATCACCAGAGGTAATAAAACCACAGTAAAGAAAGTAGAACAGTTAATCACTAAGCAACTGCCAAATTAAATCAACTGTCCCCAAAGTCAATCAAGGGATAGACAAAGAGACAAAATGTGATACCTAATACAGAACAAATGGAGGAGGAAGAAAAAGGAGGAGAAAAAAAGAACCTTTAGATTTTGTTTGTAGTAGCAGAGTAAGTGAGTTAAGTTACACTCTTAGATAGTAAGGAAGTTAACCTTGAACCTTTGGTGACCACAAATCTAAAGCCTGCAATGGCAATAAACACATACCTATTGATAATCACATTAAATGTAATTGGACTGAATGAACGAATCAAAAGACACAAGAGTCACTGAATGGATAAAAAAACAACATCTCTCTATGTTCCCTACAAGAGACTCACTTCAAACCAAAGACATACACACACTAAGAGTGGAGGGATGGAAAAAGATATTTCATGCAAGTAACAGGGAGAAAACAGCAGGAATTGTACTACTTGTATCAGACAAAATAGACTTCAAAACAAAGATAGTCACAAGAAACAAAAAAGGACATCACATAATGATTAAGGGGTCAATCCAACAAAAAGTTATAACCATTATAAACGTCTATGCGCCCAACACAGGGACACCTACATATGTGAAACAAATACTAAGAAAATTAAAAGGAGAAATAGAATACAATGTATTCATTCTAGGAGACTTTAACACTCCACTCACTCTGAAGAACAGATCAACCAGAAAGAAAATAAGTAAGGAGACAGAGACACCACATTAGAACAGATGGACCTGACAGAAATCTACAGAACTCTACACCCAAGATCAGCAGAATACACATTCTTCTCAACTGCACATGGAACATTCTCCAGAATAGACCACATACTAGGCCACAAAAAGAGTCTCAGTAAATTCAAAAAGATTGAAATTCTACCAACGAACTTTTCAGACCACAAAGGTATAAAACTGGAACTAAATAGTACAAAGAAAGCAAAAAGGCCCACAAACACATGGAGGCTCAATAACATGCTCCTAAATAATCACTGGATCAATGACCAAATAAAAACAGAGATCAAGTAATATATGGATGGAGTCAAATGTCTACAATGATTCTTCACCACAAAATCTGTGGGACACAGCAAAGGTCAGGCTAAGAGAAAAGTATATTGCAATACAGGCCTACCTCAAGAAAGAAGAACAATCCCATATGAACACACTAAACTCACAATGAACAAAACTAGATAAAGAAGAACAAATGAGGCCCAAAGTCAGTAAAGAGGGACATAATAAAGATTAGAGCAGAAATAAAATTGAGAAGAATAAGACAACAGAAAGAATCAATGAAAGCAAGAGCAGGTTCTTCGAGAAAATAAAGAAAATAGATAAACCCCTAGGCAGACTTATCAAGAAAAAAAGACAGTCTACAGACATAAACAGAATCAGAAAAGAGAAAGAAAAATCAATACAGACACCACAGAAATACAGAGAATTGTTAAAGAATAGTATGAAAACTTTTGTGCCAACATCCTGGATAACCTAGAGAAAATGGACAACTTTCTAGAAAAATAAAACCTCCTAAGGCTGACCCAGAAAGAAACAGAAAATCTGAACAAACCAATTACCAGCAGGAAATTGAATTGGTAATCAAAAAACTACCTAAGAACAAAGTACCTGGCCCAAATGGCTTCACCGTTGAGTTTTTTTTATCAAACATTTAATGAAGACCTACTATCCAACCTCCTTAAAGTTTTCCAGGGAGTAGAAGAGGGAATACTTCCAAACTTATTCTATGCGGCCAGATTCACTCTAATACCAAAACCAGGGAAAGATACCACAAAAAAAGAAAATTACAGACCAGTATCTCTGATGAGCATAGATGCAAAAATACTCAACAAAGTATTAGCAAACTGAATTCAAAAATACATAAAAAATGTCACCCATAATGATCCAGCAGGATTTATTCCAGGGATGCAAGGATGCTACAACATTCAAAATCCATCAACATCCTCCACCACATCAACAAAAAGGACAGAAACCACATGATCATCTCCATAGAGGCTGAAAAAGCATTCAACAAAATTCCACATCCATTCATGATAAAAACTCTCAACAAAATGGGTATTGCAAGCAAGTACCTCAACATAATAAAGGCCATATATGATGAACCCACACCCAACATTATACTTAACAGCGAGAAGCTGAATGCTTTTCCTTTAAGATCAGGAACAAAAGGATGCCCACTCTCCCCACTTTGATTCAACATACTACAGGAGGTCCTAGACACAGCAATCAGACAACACAAAGAAATAAATGCCATCCAGATTGGCAAGGAAGAAGCTAAACTGTCCCTGTTTGCAGATGACATGATATTGTACATAAAAAACCTTAAAGAATCCATTCCAAAACTACTAGATCTAATATATTAATTCAGCAAAGTGGCAGGATACAAAATTAGTACACAGAAACCTGTGGCATTCCTATACACTAACGATGAACTAGCAGAAAGAGAAATCAGGAACACAATTTCACTCACAATTGCATCAAAAAGAATAAAATACCTAGGAATAAACCTAGCAAAGGAAGTGAAAGACATATACCCTGAAAACTACAAGACACTCTTGAGAGAAATTAAAAGATACCAATAAATAGAAACACATCCCGTGCTAATGGATAAGAATTATATTGTCAAAATGGCCATCTGCCTAAAGCAATCTACAGATACAATGCAATTCCTATGAAAATACTAACAGCATTCTGCAATCTACTAGAGCAAATAGTTCTAAAATTCATATGGAACCACAAAAGACGTCAAATAGCCAAAGCAATCTTGAGAAGGAAGAATAAAGCAGGGGGGATTATACTCCCCTACTTCAAGCTCTACTACAAAGCCACAGTAATCAAGACAATTTTGTACTAGCACAAAAACATACCCATAGACCAATGGAACAAACTAGAGAGCCCTGATATAAACCTAACCATATATGGTCAATTAATATATGATAAAGGAGCCATGGACATACAATGGGGAAATGACAGCCTCTTCAAAAAATGGTGTTGGCAAAACTGGACAGCTACATACAAAGGAATGAAACCTGATTACTGTTTAATCCCATACACAAAAGTAAACTCAAAATGGATCAAAGACCTGAATGTAAGTCATGAAACCATAAAACTCTTAGAAGGCAACAAAGGCAAATATCTCCTGAATATAAGCGTGAGCAACTTCTTCCTGAATGCATCTCCTCGAGCAAGGGAAACAAAAGCAAAAATGAACACAAGGGACTACATCAAACTAAAAAGTTTCTGTACGGCAAAAGACACCATTAACAGAACAAACAGGCATCTTACAGTAAGAGAGAATATATTTGCAAATGACATATCTGAAAAGGGGTTAACATCCAAAATATATAAAGAACTAATACGTTTCAACACCGAAAAAGCAAATAACCTGATTAAAAAATGGGTGGAGGATATGAACAGAAAATTCCCCAAATAAGAAATTCAAATGGCTAACAGACACATGAAAAGATGCTCCACGTCACTAATCATCAGGGAAATGCAAATTAAAACTACAATGAGGTATCACCTTATTATACCAGTTAGGATGGCCAGCATCGAAAAGACTAAGAATAACAAATGCTGGCAACAAATGCTGCTGGTGGGAATGTAAGCTAGTTCAACCATGTGAAAAGCAATACGGAAGTTTCTCAAAAAACTATAAATAGAAATACCATTTGATCTGGGAAGCCCACTCCTTGGAATTTACCCAAAGAATACAACTTACAGATTCAAAAAGACATACGCACCCCTATGTTTATTGCAGCACTATTTACAATAGCCAAGATATGGTAGCCATCAGTATATAAATGGATAACGATGTCGTACATATACAGAATGGAATAGTATTCAACCATAAGAAAGAAACAAATCCCACCATTTGCAACAACATGGATGGAGCTGGAAGATATTACGCTCAGTGAAATAAGCCAAGCAGAGAAAGACAAGTGCCAAATGATTTCCCATATTTGTGGAGTATAACAACAAAGCAAAACTGAAGATCAAAACAGCAGCAGACTCAAGAGACTCCAAGAAGGGACTAGTGGTTATCAAAGGGGTGGGGTGGGGGACAGCGGGTGGGGAGGGACGGAGGGAGAAGAGGATTGAGGGGTATTATGTTTAGTACACATGGTGTGGGGGTTTATGGGGCAAACAGTGTAACACAGAGAAGGCAAATAGTGAATCTGTGGTATCATACTACACTAATGGACAGTGACTGCATTGGGATATGGGTGGGAACTTGATAATATGGGTAAATGTAGTAACCACATTGTTTTTTCATGTGCAATGTTCATAAGAGTGTATATCAATAATACCTTAATAAAAAAAATTTTTTAAAAAGGAAATGAAAGGAAAAAAAGTAGGCAAAGAACTATGCCTAGCCCTGGATATATTTGGTCAGAGACACAGAATATAAGGGATGGTGAAAAGATTTATTATTATACATATGGTCTGATTACATGATCTCTAAACTACTCTCAGCCAACAGTTTAGGCCACAATCTACAGCCAACAGGCCACAATCTAGACTAATAAACCACTGCATCAAAAATTCACATATGCAAAGGATGTGTCACTTTTGATTGTTATACGTAATTCTGTATTTACTTACATCTTAAACCTAAAAATACTCTTTGTAATAGTGTTTTTACTCAGTGAGCAGCAGCATCCTCTACAATTGGTGATGCATTCACATAAAAATAACATATTTATTACAATGATTTCTTCAAGTAATATATTACCTGACGATTTTCAAAATGAACAGCCACAATGAGTTTTCCTCCATAAAGTTTGTCTTCTAAGTTTTCAAGAACTGACGGTTCATGTTCTGGAGGATATGTCTGCTTTAGCCAATCCATCCAAGACAATCCCACAAGAGACTGAATCTTTTCTTCACTGAATTTGCGCATTTTGATTCGAAATTCATTCACCTCAGGATCCTTCAACGCATCAAATTCATGCAGACCTAAACACATTTTTAAGGTTATCATTTTAGTAGTTAATAATAACAATAGAGAATACAAAATACATTCAATAAAAATTAGTTTGGATGTTTGGTTTTTAAAAAGCAAACAAAACTGGGCAGGAAAATATCATGAAAGATCATAAAAATATGAAGATAAAACTGCTAAGGAAGTACATTTATTTAAGAGGTTTCAAGTTTGTATTGCTTAGAGATCTAATTGTATGTTTGTCTTGTATTCGAAACCAACATAAGATTATGTATCAGATACTTCAATTTTAAAAAACTCTACTGATACCAAAACCAGGCAAAGACACCACAAAAAAACAAAGTTCCAGACCAATATCCCTGATGAACATAGATGCAAAAATACTCAACAAAATATTAGCACCCCAAATACAAAATTACATCAAAAAGATCATCCATCATGATCAAGTACAATTTATTCCAGGATGCAAAGATGGTACAACATTCAAAAATCTATCAACATCATCCAGAATACCAACAAAAAGAACAAAAAACATATGATCATCTCCATAGAAGCTTAAAAAGAATTCAACAAAATTCAACATCCATTCATGATAAAAACTCTCAACAAAATGGGAATAGAGGGCAAGTACCTCAACATAACAAAGGCCATATATGACAAAACCACAGCCAACATCATACTTAACAGTGAGAAGCTGAAAGCTTTTCCTTTAAGATCAGGAACAAGACAAGGAAGTCCACTCTCACCACTTTTATTGAACATAAACATAGTTCTGGAGGTCCTAGACACGACAATCAGACAACACAAAAAAACAAAAGGCATCCAGATTGATAAAGAAGTTAAACTGTCACTGTTTGCAGATGACATGACATTTTACAAAAAGACCCTAAAGAATCTACTCCAAAACTACTAGATCTAATGTCTAAATTCAGCAAAAGTGGAGGATATAAAATTAATACACAGAAATCTGTTGCATTCCTATACACAATGATGAACTAGCAGGAAGAGAAATCAGGAAAACAATTTCATTCATGACTGCATCAAAAGAATAAAATACCTAGGAATAAACCTAACCAAGGAAGTGAGAGGCCTATACTCTTAAAACTACAAGACACTCATGAGAGAAATTAAAGACACCAATAAATGGAAACACATCCGATGCTCGTGGATAGGAAGAATTAATATTGTCAAAATGGCCATCCTGCCTAAAGCAATCCACAGATTCAATGCAATCCCTATCAAAATACCAACAGCATTATTCAACGTACTAGAGTGAAAAGTCCTAAAATTCATGTGGAACCACAAAAGACCTCGAATAGCAAAAGCAATCCTGAGAAGGAAGAATAAAGCAGGGGGGATTATGCTCCCCTACTTCAAGCTCTACTACAAAGCCACAGTAATCAAGATAATTTGATACTGGCACAAGAAAAGACCTGTAGACCAATGGAACAGACTAGAGAGCCCAGGTATAAATCCAACTATATATGGTCAATTAACATACAGTAAAGGAGCCATGGATAAACAGTGGGGAAATGACAGCCTCTTTAACAACTGGTGTTGGCAAAACTGGACAGCTACATGTAAGAGAATGAAACTGGATTACTGCCTAACCCCATACACATTAGTAAACTCTAAATGGAACAAAGACCTGAATGTAAGTCATGAAACCATAAAACTCTTAGAAGAAAACACAGGCAAAAATCTCTTGAATATAACATGAGCAACATTTTCCTGAACACATCTCCTCAGGCAAGGGAAACAAAAGCAAAAAGTGAACAAACGGGACTACATCATGCTAAAAAGCCTCTGTACAGCAAAGGACACCATCAGCAGAACAAAAATGCATCCTACAGTATGGGAGAATATATTTGTAAATGACATATCTGACAAGAGGTTAACATCCAAAATATATAAAGAACTCAGATGCCTCAACACCAAAAAGCAGATAACCCAATTAAAAAAATGGGCGGAGGATATGAACACTTCTCCAAAGAAGAAATTCAGACGGCCAACAGGCACATGAAAAGAAGCTCCACATCACTAATTATTAGGGAAATGCAAATTAAAACCACAATGAGATATCACCTCACACCAGTTAGGATGGCCAAGATACAAAAGACAAGAAACAACAAACGCTGGCGAGGATGCGGAGAAAAGGAACCCTCCTACACTGCTGGTGGGAATGTAAACTAGGTTCATCCATTGTGGAAAGCAGTATGGAGGTTCCTCAAAAAATGATAAATAGAAATACCATTTGACCCAGGAATTTCACTCCTAGGATTTTACCCAAAGAAAACAACTTCTCAGATTCAAAAAGACACATGCACCCCATGTTTATATCAGCATTTTTTACAATAGCCGAGATATGGAAGCAACCTAAGTGTCCATCAGTAGATGCATGGATAAAGAAAATGTGCTACATATAAACAATGGAATACTATTCAGCCATAAGAAACAAATCCTACCATTTGCAACAACATAGATGGAGCTGGAGGGTATTATGCTCAGTGAAATAAGTCAGGCAGAGAAAGAAAAATACCAAATATTTTCCTTCATTATATATTAACAATGAAGCAAAACTGAAGGAATAAAACAGCAGCAGACGTACAGATTCCAAGAATGGACTAGTGGTTACCAAAGTGGAGGAGTGGGGAAAAGCGAGTGGGAAGGGAGGGAGGGAGAAGGAGATTGTGGGGTATCATGATTGGTACACATGGTGTGTGTGGGGTCACGGGGAAGACAGTGTACTCAGAGAAGACAAATAGAGACTCTGTGGCATCTTTCTACACTGATGGACAGTGGCTGCAATGGGGTATGGGGGAGACTTGATAATAAGGGTGAATGTAATAACCACATTGTTTTTCTTGTGAAACCTTCATAAGACTGTGTATCAATGATACCTCAGTAAAAAAATGATTAATTTGACATTAAAAAATAAAGTCTAACTATGCTGATGGACAGTGACTGTAATGGAGTGAGTATGTGGTGGGGACTTGATGGTGGGAGTCTAGTAACCATAATGTCGCCCATGTAATTACAGACTAATGATACCAGAAAAAAAGTCTAAAGAAACATTAAAAAAAAAAATCCATTTTATATTAAAAGCCTCAAGTACATTAAATTTAAAAAGCAGGGACAGAATGGTTCTGCCAAGACTCCTTTTAAGCAAATTAGAAAGGAAGACTATAGAATATGTGTGATTTTTTGTTTTAGAAAGATACTTGAGATGACAATATTAATGGCATTTCATAGTGTTGGAGACGAGACCACAGTGATGCAAGCTGTTTTTATTCCACAAAGTCAATCAATACTGTATCATTTAAATCTACATTATCCGAATATATGCATCTCAGAAAGGGTCATCTAGACAGAGGATTCATCTGTACTGTCCTTTTATATATTAAAACAATTAGTTATTACTTTAAAAATTACTACAATTAATTTGTGCCATTAAATACAGAAAAATTAAAATATTTAAGTTGCATATTGTAGCAAAAGTAGTCTTGAGGGTACAATAGGATGTTTTTGAAATTTTAGATATGGACTAAAAATAGATTACTTGAAATATGTATGAATGAACTATAATTTAAGACTAGCTAAAGCATCTTTACAGCTTCTTCCCCAGCACTGTTCAAACTCTTTCTAGTCGCAGCTAATAGATATTACAGGTAAGGAAAGGAAAATATGTACCTAATAATATATACATCTAACAAAATCAAACTCTTATGCACTGAAAGTCACATCTAATCCACTTTCTAAATGTCTCTCAACTCTACTGCTAGTTCCTGTAGCCATTAACTTAATCTTGGCAATCATCATCCCTCACTTGGATTACCACTTGAGATCTTCACTAATTTCTCTATTCTGTCTTAATCCCTTCAAATATTCTCCATTCTTCCATTTAAATAGTCTTTCTAAAATGCCAATCAGATCATGTTACTCCCCTACTTAAATCCCTTCAATAGCTTCCCAACTCTTTTTAGGAATAAGCCCATACTTTTTATAAGGCCTGGATTGCTCTGCATGCTCTGAAGCTGGTTCCCTTTCTAGTGTTTTTGCTTGCCCTTGCCATTATCATAAACAAACCATAATCAATCTTTTATTCCATTTATCCCATCCTTCACATATTATTGTCAATTCCTTTTACCTGCTCAAATCCTAATCCGCACTGAAAGCTCAGGGTAGCTGTGGTTCCTCTAAAAGGCCATCCTTGATTCACCCAAGTGAGTCAAGTGACCCTCCTTGATTTACAGGAATTTAAACATTGTATTACAATGTGTGTTTACTATCTCCAAGTAGACAAAAACCACATTACCAAAGTTTGCTGTTATATATACTCCAAGTATAAACATTCAACATATACTACGGAACTGCAATTGCTACTCTTTAGGTAATTTTTTAAGATATAAAAAAGGGACTCTGTTAATGTAACTGTTAGAATCAATTTGAAAGTACAGAGTTCTTAATTCATCCAAGATTTACTGAATCCCAATCTTCTGAGAATCTGCTTTTTAAGAAAATGATGAAGTCTGAATTTAGGTACCACTACAAGAGCTCTTAAAAACAGAAACTTTGCCAAAAATAAGAAGTTAGGCTAAATAATTTAATTTTAAGCCTAGTTGGTTTCCTGTATATCTTCTAGTAAGGAAATTTGATAGCAAGTCTTTAATTTTAAGGTAAGACCACTATTTACTTACAAATATTAATTTTCTGATATAAAAAAAGTACTGGGTGAAGATTTTCTTCACACTAAATTATGTATTTCCTTCACTTTAAGATACGCCATGGCTTTACATAGGTGAGAAAATAAGGAGTTATCAAATAATTTTTCAGGTTGCTGACAAAATTATCTGATCCAGATTTACTAATTACTGGGTGTTTGTAGAAATTAATGCAGAGATGACAAGTACCGTCACTACAGATTAGTCAGAACCCAACCAGCAGCTCTGTGAATAATTATTTTAAATAAACATGGAAAATAAAGTAATTAGAACATTATCTTTCAGGAAAAGGTATTTTTAGAACCAGCAAGGCAGTTATGTCTTGTAAAGGTTCTATTGTTTTCTTTGGGGAGGAGGAGGCAGCAAATTTGTTCCTGACGTTAAATTGAAATAATTGTTTATTGTTTTCCCAGGAGGCATGACCTCACCAAGCACCAGTTATAGTCATTACATACAAATTAGCAACTGCAAAAATTGATCTGTTAGGTATTTAAAGTGAAAATTCATCCAAAAAATATTGAAAGACTTACTAAACTTCCTGAAAGAATACTAATATTTCAATTTGTGTGTGTATATGATCAAAACACAAGCATTTCCAGACATGCTGAAGATCTGAAGTACAATTTATAAATACTAAAAAGCTTATAAACTGCTTAACTTAATAAAATAAAAATTCTCCTTACATCCTGATCATTCAAACTACACAGCACACTGCATGAACAAAAATTTTGTACAAGAAGCTTTATGACACTGAATGAAATATGGTGCATTGTTTATAGAGAGAGAAATTCAATTCTAACATATATGTTTGGTCCTCCTGCTATGGTAGAGTAATGTTAGCATTACCAAATAAAACAGCATGCCCAGTTTCTATTTAAATTTTAGATAAACAATCAATGATTTTTAGGATTAAGTATATCCCATACAATACTTGGATCTCCCTTTTTTTTATTTGCTAAATCTGGCAAACTTAGGTAAAGGTAACAGTGGCAAGGGGAGAGAACCAAGATGGCAGCGTGAGTAGAGCAGCGGAAATCTCCTCCCAAAACCAAATATATTTTTGAAAATACAACAAATAAACTAATCCTAAAAGAAAGACCAGAAGACACAGGACAACATCCAGACCACATCCACACCTGCAAGAACCCAGCGCCTCATGAAGCGGGTAAGATACAAGCCCAGGCCCAGCAGGACCCAAGCGACCCACACCCCAGCTCCGGGTGGGAGGAGAGGAGTCGGAGCGGGGAGGGAAATGGGGGCCAGGACTGCTAATCACCCAGCCCTAGCCATCCACACCAGAGCACAGACACAGTGCATGCGTGGGGTGCTGGAAACTAGGGAAACAGGACAGTAAGACCTGTGAGCGGGTCCCTGCAGCCAGTGAACCTGGGACAAAGAAAAGGGAGTGCTTTTTGAAAGTCTTAAAGGGACAGGGACCCCACAGCTGGACAGAAGCACCCTGGGACACTTAGCCCAGCAGCTGCGAGCCTCGGGGAGCTCTGGGTGCCTGAACCCCCCGCAACACAGCTTGGAGGCCCCTCACCATGATAAACAGCCTCCCGCCTGTTTCCCCTCTGACGCGGCTCCGCCATATTAGAGCAGCAGCCTGAGGCCAGCCACACCCACAGCAACTGCAGAGCTAAATAAACTCCATAGCAGCTGAGCAAGATCAGAAGACCCGTCTGCACGCAGCTGCCCAGCACAAGCTGCTAGAGGCCACTGTTCTCCCAGGAGAGGAAGGCCATAAACTGGCAAGAAAAGACTTTCTCTTACCCAACACACGTGCCAGCTCCCCACAAATATATCTATCGCCATAAAAAGGCATTAGAAATTGATACAGACCAAGATCAAAGAGGCAAACCCTGAGAAGGAGATAGACCTAACCAGTCTTCCTGAAAAAGAATTAAAAATAAAGCTCATAATGCTGACAGAGATGCAGAGAAATATGCAAGACCTAAGGGATGAAGTCCGGAGGGAGATTACAGATGTCCAGAGGGAGATTACAGAGGTGAAACAAACTCTGGAAGGATTTATAAGCAGAATGGATAAGATGCAAGAGGCCATTGATGGAATAGAAACCAGAGAACAGGAACGCATAGAAGCTGATGCAGAGAGAGATAAAAGGATCTTCAGGAATGAAACAATATTATGAGAACTGTGTGACCAATCCAAAAGGAACAATATCTGCATTATAGGGGTACCAGAAAAAGAAGAGGGAGAAAAAGGAATAGAAAGTGTCTTTGAAGAAATAATTACTGAAAACTTCCCCAAATTGGGGGAGGAAATAATCGATCAGACCATGAAAGTGTACAGAACTCCCAACAGAAAGGATCCCAGGAGGACAACACCAAGACACATAATAATTAAAATGGCAAAGATCAAGGACAAGGAAAGAGTTTTAAAGGCAGATAGAGAGAGGAAAAAGGTCACCTTCAAAGGAAAACCCATCAGGCTATCATCAGACTTCTCAACAGAAACAATACAGGCCAGAAGAGAATGGCATGATATATTTAATGCAATGAAAGAGAAGGGCCTTGAACCAAGAACACTGTATCCAGCACGACT